ATATACACATAATGTCAACCATGAATTTGAAATGCAGCCACTGAGAGGCAAACGCTGGAGGGCGCACTGTATCATGCGTCCCCTGCCTGTGTCCATTTTAAATCCCGACCACAACCAGGATGATGATGAGGACGACGAGAGTCACTTCTAAGATGAGACCGACGACCAGACCAATGATAGACAGCCTCCTGGATTGCTCTGCGGCTTGTCTGGCTCCCGCCGCGTCTCCGAGCTGCCAGAGCTTTCTAGACTGCATTAAGCCAAAGAAGGGGAGGCGAAACAATTAGTAGGGGCGTGGTTTTCAGGGGTAGGGTTACGGACGGCAGATCAGAATGAGGCAAATGGAAAGAGGAAAAGGCGGTACGGAATTTTTGGTTGAGAGAGAAATGGAAGCCGCGAGTAACTATATGATGAGCGAGAATGGAACTAAATTGTCAGAAAGTTTGATGATACGGGATTACCACCGACCAAATTAGGAGGGAAGATTGAAACTAAAACTTTCTATCGAACCGGTTTTTTTTTTTTACCGATTTAAGTAAAACTTTGCAGGTTTAAGCAACATGATTCAATTTGGTGAACTCACAAATTGAGGAGTCTCCCAAACAGAAATAAAGTGCCCCCAAGAAAGACATTGAATGAAAAGCCAACTTTACACAGTCAACTAATACTAATTTTTTTTCATGGAAATTTTTGGGAGAACCGCCAAAACTGCTTCGGTCCTCAGAGGACAAGAAAACACGGCTGGCGGGACACTTACGTCCATGGATTTTACGATGGCTAGGATACCGAGGATGAAGCAGCAGAAGGCGGCAACAATGATGGCAAAGACCATGTTGTCTGGGGGAGGGGCACCGTCGGTCCTGGTATCATCTGCGTGGCTGGGGTTACTACCTGCATGTTGGAGGGTTTTGAAATTGGACACGGTTTTGTGGGTGATTTCCGCTGACCCCTTTGTGGATAGCTCTTTGGCCGTTCCGAGTTGCACTGCAAAATACGCGCTGGTTCCCAATCCCCCCATTCGATTTTGGGAGAGAACCAGTCTCAACCACTCCCATTGTTCAAAATATTTAAAAGAGTCGTATGAAAATATACGAAACTTTGTTTTTGTCAAAACAGATACTTTATAAGAATCATAATTCCATTTCCATTTTGATTTTTAAAAATGAATAATTCCTTGGGTAACAAAGTGTGCATGTCAATTTGATTAGATACATCTTTCTTTACAAATGCGTTGTTCTTGGAGTCTTAATATGGTGGATTGTAACTTTGCTTTTAACGGCCAATGATAATAGGACTATCCAGATTTGTATGTATAGATCAGTGGTTGGCCTGCTTGCATGGGCCGTCCAGAGAATGCACTGTCGCTTTGGGCAGTGTGGAGATATTCGACCTTTTCCCGGCAATTTTGGCAACATTTATTGCGTCTTATCTCACCCCTGAATTCAACCTCATCTGGCCGGGAAAAAAAATAAAGTTTTAGCTTGTGATTGAAGTATACATGGGCAGCTGATAATTAACCATCCTCTCAGACGCAACCACACTATAATAAAAGTATTGGTTCAGATTTGACCCAGAGTCCGTGTCAGGCTATTTGGCCTGACACTTGTCAGGGTCGAAAGTGATGCGTTTCTGGGTCAAAATGACACTTTTGCCAAAGTTTCCGCATAGGCAAAATAACCCGGGAAATGAGTCAAACAAGTGTTATTTTGACCCGGAAAACGTTCACTCTGAAACGCGTCAGGAGAAACAGAACCCGTATTCTGGGTGAACCTGCATGACCAGGCACGTTTTGAATGCACACTATTAATTGTATAACTTATTTTAAACATAGGCTACATTAGTTTATATTACCTGAGGACCACCATATGGGTAGACGCCACCCTGCGGAGCATATGCCCCTTCCATGGCAGAGTAGGGTCCCGCCTGGGGTACGTAAGTGACCCCCTGGGGTGCGAAAGCCACCCCCTGTTGAGGTAGGGGGTTGAACCCCTGTTCAGGGGTGGGGTTGACTCCCTGCTAGGGTACGTAATTGACACTCTGGGTCGGGATCTCACCGCTAGGATCTTTGTTGAAATCGGTGCCGGGTTGTTGGGGCACTGCGGGGGTGTACTGCGGAGGAAGGTCATCCAGTGGGGGGCATGTGGGCTCTGTCGGGGGTACATCCGCTTTTTCGCTAGCCATCACGAGGTCGGGTCTTTGAAAAAAATACGGACACAAGTACAAACGTGTACTGTTACAGAATTACATTTTGCGACTTTAGCGTTTGAATACTGTTTTATTTTAAACATAAAATAAAATAGGATAGTGGACCTGTATCAGTCAACATCGCGGCCATTTTTAATTCAGGAGCTGAGGGGCTGCTGATGAGACATTACATTCGTTTTATCTGTTTTAAACTTTAAAACAAATTAACGAATGGAATGGAATTAGTTTCCAGTTTTTAGTTGAGTTTTTTACGTTATTAACTTTTTGCATTTTGTATGTATAAGAGAAACAAGCCTGCATGATGAGTTTATCACGACCTGTACCTGCCTCTCCCTAACCCACGCCTACAAAATAATAATAATCATTAATTTTCAGGGAACAGAACACATGATATAATACATTGCCGTCGAACTATTCATAAATCTTTTAAAATTTGAAAATCCAAAATTCTTATAGAGTATTCCTCCCGATTTTGAGATGTTGCACTGCAAAAGTGGAATTTTACGCGTTTCTTTGTAAGAGAGAAAATAGCTTAAAAAACAAAATCCTATCAATATCCTAATAGCAATGACAGTAACAACCAAGTTTCGCGTCCACCAAAAGCTATATTAAATTACACTTTCGTTTCAATGTAAAATCTCCGAATTTGCATTCTCAGAACCAACTGGCTTCCTTTAAACGGCCTGCTGTTTAAAGTAACAGACGGTTCAAGTTCAACTTGTGTCACCACATAATAATGTGACCCCAACCCACCATTTGTATTGTGACGCACACGAGTAGCAACAAGTGCAAACAAGCGTGCATAATAGCGATGTCGGAATGCAGGCGACTCTACAGATGACCAAGCGGGTACCAACAGTTTCTGTTCTATTAAGATCTCATTCTGCACCCAAGCCACTAGTTTAAAAAAAAAGTGGAATTGTCTTTATCTACACTGATTTTTTTTTTCATCTCAAACTTAACCATTCATTAGACACTTGACTCTTTTGTCATCGCCTTCTCTTATGTGTGTTCAAAACTTTCTGATCCCCACCGCAATTCATAACAACCGTTATCAGCCAGACATATTTGAAATAAACGAACACAATGACAATTCCAAGAACTTAACAAAATCTACTAAAATAAAACAAGAAGACTGTCATCGTACATAAACACATTATGTCAAATAAGAAAAGTAGTATAAAAAGGTTCTCACTCTGCAAGGCGATGTGACTTGGTAACAGATGCGATCTATTTTCTTGGTATGTTCAGCAACTCGTCCGTTCCCTCTCGGTAGGAGAAGCCAACTGCTACAGCATCATAGACGCTTTCATGTTTTCTTTCCGGAACCAAAACTGTTTTTTTTGTTTCTCTGGCCAAAGTCCACACTTCCGTCATCCAACCCAAATCCATCATTTACGCGATGCCACCTGTTTGAATGAGGGATACTCATTTCCCATCTGACAGAATCAAGTTCAAAGTACGAATTTAATCGCTGGTAGTTGTGCGCTGACAAGTTACGGAATTATTAACCAAAAGCTTTTACATGGTCTACACATGCTATAATATTGGTCACGTATATGCGCCTGTAGTTCATTTATCGCAGCGTATCCAAAAGTCTATCATGTTTGTTCTGCATAGTGGACAGAACTGAATTTTTAAGTCCTCGCAAGTCAATCACGTGTCAGACGCAGGTGAATCACAAGTCCTTCCGTCCGACGTCCACACTTTGAAACGTCATTGGTCGTCATCCGGGTCCTGTGGGGCCTGACACTTTTCCGAGCCAAAATGACACCTCTTTGAGTCATTTTCCGGGTCACGTTGACCCGAAAAAGTATCCACCTGACCTGGAAAATTGTCACTTTTACCCGGAAAAGTGTCAGGCCCCGTAGGACACGGACTCCTGGTCAAATCTACCAGGGACGTTTTAGAGTGTAGTCATTGGCTGGAGTTGTAGTTAGGTCCTCGCAAGTCCATTACAAGTTCGTCGCAAAGTTCAGTCACAAGTCCTTCCGTCTCAAGCCAAGTCACAAGCTATTCAAGATGAACTTACTTTGAAAAGGACAAACAATTATTATTGTTCGTCCTCCAACGGCCGGTTCATGCTCGGCGCAAACGCAAACGCGAACACGAATGTATGACGTCATCACAAGCTATCGCACTGTTAATTCGCAAAAGTTGAACCGGCCTTTGCCTTGCCTTGCCTTGCCGAGGGGGGGGGGGGGGGGGTGGATTGTTGGGCAATGCTATTTGGCCCAACATTGGTAGGAAGTTATCTCATTGTTGGGTTACTTCAGGCAAAAACTGATATATTTATTGACATATATAATTGTGACCTTATTACAATTGTGTAGGGGGCGTCCTTGTGATGGAATCGACGACTTTTCTTACTTCGTGATGACCGTCAGCATTCTTTTTTTTTTCTTCTTATCTTAAAATGTCAAGCCGAAAGGTTGCCTACAAATCAGTGACGCGGTTACGGAACAAAGAACTACTTGTAACAGTATAATGATCACTGAATACACAGACACATGATAATCGATTAACCAATTCTCCCAGGAAATCAGATCACTCTAAATTAATACTATTTATTGCATATTTAAAAAAACAAAACAAGACTGAGGTGAGTTGTCCCTCCATTCTATGATATAGCCTCTTGTAAGAGGAATATCAATTCCTACCTACAGCTTTAATGTTTTTCTTTTCATCATTTTTTTCTTCTTTCGAAGCCTTTGCCGAGAGCAGCTTTTATAGCAATTGCTATGAAGAGAAAAAACAAAGAGTAAATGTTTATTATTAGTATGGTACATGTTTATTATACTTTATACATATTGTCTGTCGTACAAGTACGATTTTTTTGTCAGTGCAGCTTTAATTCAGTCATCGGTATTTTGTAGATTTTATGTAAATGTTGTTATGCCATTATAAATACAAACTCTGACTCGCAACATTAGTTAAAATAATTGTAGATAAAAATGTACAGTTTGGTTAATGGTCAAATTAAATACAATGAAGTCATAATTATCAACTCCCTCACAATACCGGTCATACGCAGAATCGATTCATGTTGAACACATAAGTCAAAATTTCAATAACAAACATTTGTCTCTATAAATGTAAAAAAAAAAAAAAGGGTCTCACATTATTATCTTTTTGTCAAACAATTGTAACTCCTATACAGGTGAATCAAAATGAAAATAACATGGATTAATGCCTATCCCCTTACAAAGCGTTTAAAGTTGACACACCAAGGAAGCGTAAACGAGTATGTTCTTCCACTCAGTGGGAAAACGAATTACTGAAACTAATTAATGCTATCAGAATCTGCATTTAAAAAAAACAAAAAACCCATTTTTACAGCTGTACATGGAATGCCATTATGAAGCTTTTCAGCTGAGTGAAAACCAGAGATCACACACAGGCATTCAAATACAAATGGGATTTTACTAAATTTGAGTCAAGAGTGAAACATGATTTTCACCGTCAGATTTTGTGTTTTGTATATGAGGAACAAATATTTGTTTTTCTCTGAAACGATGATGGTGATTTTTGGTTTTTATTTTACTTTGCAATTTTTCGTTCATTCATAGAGGTAAGTATGTCTTCCTGGTTCATTGTTTTTAAAAGTTATTCACCAAGTGCGTATCGGTAAATGATCAGTGGTGGACGGCTGAGTTTTGTTACACTGGTATTCAAATAGATATAAATTGTGAATAAAAGACGCAAATTAACTGACATTTTGACAGTAACTAGTCAATAACATATTCCTTATTCATATGTTATTTTGTATTAAATGGAGCAAGCCACATATTTTTAAGAATTCGTTTTCTAACTCGATCACTTTCTGTTGGACTCGCCCTGTACAGCTCCGACCAAACATATGCTTCAACCGCTGGTTGCAAAATAAAGCCAAAAGTTGAAATGCCATCTTATGTGAGACAGCCCATTCCAGTTTAGTGTGGGTACAACAATCGATATTTACAATATTCTTTAAATCTTAAGAAGTATGAGCATCACTGACGTAGATTTCAACAAATCAAACTCTCACCAGTAATGATGAGTGGAACAATAATAATGAGTTTGCATATTAATTGAATCGCGATGATTGAACATTGATGACGATTGCAAAATATCCACAACCCTCTCAGCCAAAATACCTATATTATTATACTAAAAACGAGTCACTGTTATATCGGCCTTATTCACCACTGATTGCAATACAGGGGTTATTTGTGTAATTATTTTCAGAAATAACAAGTATCAAAATATTCTGTGATAAATTATTTGTCATCAAGAAACCACTGTGTCATCGTCTTAGGATTTAAAAGAGGCACATCACTGCAAAATAACGGGGTAACTTTGTGCGTGCATGACGCCCATTGGTATGCGAATAAATGGATTATGGGATTTCGACGTCAAAATGAGTATTTCGAGAATAAAACCGATGACACCGTAGTAGCCACTTATTAAGAGCATCAAGGAGGACATCGTCACTGACTATAGGCATATCTGGATATGATCAATATTGATTGTTCTCGAATGAACAGTGCCTTCCACAACACTCTGGACAATGAGGGCGGTACCATTCTCATAGCATTCTGTTCTTTGATTCGTAATGCTTGTTTGCACGTGCGCAAACACAGCTGGAGTTTCGGTGTATTGATTGAGAATGAAGTGTCCAGATAAGTCGGCCAGACTCCACTTCGATTTTTTTTTTTGGAGGGGGGGGGGGGTCAAAAACCGTTCTGTTAACGGACATGACTAATCACCGTACGGTGCCAACTGGAAAACAAAGCAAAGCCCACTGAAATATCTCTGTTTAGATTACAAGGATTATGAGTATGACGACCAGCGCTATTATAATGGGGATACCGATGGCCAGCCCTGCGATGGACCAACGTCGAGCCTCCTGGGCCGACTGATGAGCCCCGACGCCGTCCCCCACCTGCCAACGATTCCTGGCCTATAAACAGGTGAAAGGAACAACAGTTACATGCATAATAACCTGATTTAAATTCAAAACTGGTCTTCACCCTTCACCGACGTATTTTGAAATATACAGTCTCATTGTTGGCCCGAGTGAATGTGAGGAAAAAGTAACTGGTGGGACTCAAACCCACAACCGCCTGCTTTAAAGGAATAATATTTTGATCATTTTCATTTGTCCAAAACTATGCTACCGTATAAAACCTACTTGGATTAAATATCATACTGGGAAAGGAACGGGGGGATCTTATATGCAAACAGTATTCAAATTAGACGCATGCGCAACAGTGTTTGCAAAACCGGTCTTCAAATGCAAAGCTGTAATACTTGCAAAGCTGTAATACTTGAGTTGTATGAATACAATATATGGCCGAGTAAAGTGCCCACAAACCAACCAACCAACCCACCCACCCAACCCACCCACCCAACCCACCCACCCAACCCCCCACCCACCAACCACCCAACCACCCCACCCACCATAAGCAGCTCAAGCCGTGTTTCACACCGCTGTGAAAAAAAATACAAAAAACGGACTGCAGATACAGTGCCTATGTTGAACGGGGGGTTAACCTCGTGGATTGACTCCTTATGAGTGCCTTCACTGAGGACAACAAAAACAACTGTCCTCAGCTTGAGCGGGGGCGCTATTGACAAAATTGTCTATCATCGGACTGGTATTGCAGACGCGCCTCTACACTCACCTCCATAGCTTTCATCATGCCGATAAGTCCCAAGGGGAGGAAACAGAAGAGTGTGACCATCAGTGCAAACATCATGTAATCCGGAGGTGGGACATTACCCGCAGTTCGTATGATCTGTGTGGCATGCAGTTAACAAAGAAGACAGAAATACACGTGTATCAATTATATAGGGTTTTACACACAGCTGGCTTTATCCCCTTTAAAAAATAAATAAAGAATAAGATACAACACAAAGTCTCACCCCGACAATCCAGAAATACAAAATCCAAACCTGTTGTGGACATCCCATCTGAGTGAGACCGCTTTGCTGGTATCCACCTGCTTGAACTGTGTAGACTCCTTGTGGTGCGTAGGCGCCGCCTTGAGGTGCATAGCCCCCACCCTGCGGTGCGTAGGTGCCCACTTGCTGTGCATAGCCGCCTTGAGGAACGTTTGTGCCACCTTGGGGCGAGTAGGCGCCTCCTTGTGGGACGTAGGCGCCTCCTTGTGATGGGGAGTCACCCTTCGACTCGAATCCAGCCGAGGGATCGGCCGCTGTGGGTGTGCTTACAACATCGTCGTACGGTGGGGGAGCTATACCTTGGCCGTCCATACCGGTGAGCGTTGGCACCTTCGACATCGGAATCAAGAAGAAAAGTGTTTGAATGCTTGTGCGGAAGGGGTTCGAGCCCTTATATGGATTGTCTTCAGAACTGTTTTTTTTTTTAGCAAGACTTCTTTTGTGTTATTGATGCAATTCACCGAAAACCTGACGAACAGAGTAGAGCCAATACAATTATCTGAAATTTATGATATAAACAGTCCTTAAAACAAAAACATCGTCAGGACTTAGCAACAACAAAAACACTTGAATACAAAGTTACCCTGGCATAATGTATCAATGAACTCTGCTGGGATTTGAAAACACATAAACCTCGTGGAAACTAACGTTAAGCAATCATCATTGCTTCCACACAGTGTTCATGTTGAAACCATTGCAACCAACGACAACTGTCATGAAGCGGCCAGTGCGGCGACGAAAACTGATACAAGCCTGTAATACCGGGCGATCATTGCAGTGAATTGTCCGTTGTCCCAACCCCAACCTTAATGGCGACACCTAAACCAAAATTATGTAAAACCATACATCATAAAACCCACCTTTTGACAATAACACCCGTCTGCCAGCAATCTCTTTCAATGAACAGGAATCCCTTTGTAAGTCTGTTAAGGAACTGCAGGCCTACATGGAGGACTTGGTCAGAATCATGTGATGAAAATGCCACAAAAAAGAAACACTTAACATTGATAATGAGACCGATACTGGGCATTGACGTCAGCGCATTCGATAACTTCAGTAGAAATACCTGCATTGTCTGTTGTCTGAGGTCAGAGGTTATTGGTTGCAAATTACTGCATTATTGAAGAAATAAATTGTATGGACTTTGAACAGTGTACACTGTAGATCGATAACAGATTTGAGCTCTATACCATCGGAGGGAAATCCTCGTGTTATGCCCTAACTATTTGGAAATGGGTTCAAGTATAGCTGGTATCGTCAGAACTAAAGATAGGATAATGCCATAGTACCCCTATTCATCCCATTTTACGTAAAATATACGCATTCGGTTGTCTGTGCTACGTGCTGCGGGAACTTGGCCGTGCGCCTCGAATTCACACACCGTAAAATCAATCTTGACAAACGGCGCAACCTCCCCGTTTGCTGTTCGACTTCACTCCGAAGATTCGATGTCAGTATTTTTTTTCAAACCCCGAATTTACCTCATTCAGAAATAGACATGTAATTGACATGTATATTTCTTCGTTTCCCCCGTGATTTGTATAGGTTTTAGCAAACGGATGAAACACTGAGCTTACACATCCATTCGGCAAATTTGCAGACACGAATGTGCTTAAAGATAGCGTAGATCATATTGCATTGTTATTTTTTTTTAATCTACAAAATTCCTCAAAATCTAATAAAGTGTTAGCTATGTGAATGATGCGTATTCCGAGAAAACAATATTCTCGGATCTCGATTTCAATTCAAAAGTTGCCGAGTCATATTTAAAAACCCGTCCGAAATCAGCATCTGGGACACGTCCTCATTCAGCCGATTGCAACTACACGCTGTCACGCACTGAACCGGAGAATAATAGCAACCGCGCGCGCGTGTGCGTCGGGTCAACGTTTGTTTGCGCGCACCCATTCACGGCATCGCCCAGTTACAAGCAAACGTTTCTTTCCAAATAATTGTCACTTGACACATCTTTGAAAACGACCTTCTTTTAGTGTTTCCTTCAAAAGGACAGCATGCCAGAAGGAATAATTTCACAATAACAATAATTTACCAATAATTTGGTCAGTTACTCCATTGGATAGCTGCAAATGATGCACTCTACCTTTAAACCTATGGCAATATAATTGTCATTAAAGTCATTAAAGTCATTACAGATCTTTTAGTTCCATTATGTAACCGAACCATGCTTCAGAACCGTCCATCAGAACTTTGATAGGGCCTGTCCTTTAATACATATATTGTCCGCTACCGTTTAAATCGTTAGTTCCAGCTGCGTTAAAGGGGGAGGGGGCTATGCCCCACCCCGAACGAGGCCTTTGATTCCCCACCCTCCACTTGTGCCCCCTCCCCATTAAAAAAACTAAAGTAGTTACAAAGAAGTACCTACGAGGCGAACACGTCAGGGCGCTCTTTTGTGAATCTGTGTATATTGAGAGCAAATACTTAGACTCCACAATCAGAGATTACAATCTGTTTGTAAATTCAATAACTTCCTGAATTGCATGACCTCTTCTTCTTTGGATTGGCGAGGTACTCAGCGTCATGTTTATTTTGACCAAATAACCCAACTCTGTTCCTTTTCGGGCGTCTGTATTCCCTTGAAAGAAAAACAAACAATAAAGTATTTCAGTTTAGTTTTGCGCACGAACAGATCAGGGTTGCAAGTGGGCTTGTTCCCCGTCCCTACATTATCGCTGCTGATGGGGCATAGCCTTTCGCCAAGCCCATCGTGGCTTAGGTACGGCGGAGTTGCGAAGACCCGAAGCGACTTAGGAGCAAATATTAAGTCAGCACGCACGAGTGGCAAAGCCACGAGGCCTTTCCCAACTTGATTTTGTTGAATTAGTCATAGTTTTTATGCAAATAAGAAGAGTGCTGAAGGTTAACCAATCACAACGCGGATTTTGCCTGGTCGCTTCCATTTTTAAAAGAAGGGTGAGTAAGGAAAACGTAAGAGCAAATAACTGTAAGTTTAAATGAAAATAAGTTCATACACTCAAATAATTTCTTGAAATACTTTTATAAGTAAAATTAAAATAATATCATGTAAGAACAATTACGCGGTCACGATCTCGTGGAAAGCTTGCCTTTTTTGTTTTTAAATTTTGTGCAAGCATCCGGGCGCGTCGACGCGTCCGGGTAGTAGCCACGCACGCACTAAAAGGCTGATGATTGGTTGGAATTTTGCTTCCCATTTTGGGTAGCAAAAATCAAGATTATACAGAAAAACATAAGAATTTTTTCGACAAGTTAGAAAAGGCCCTTGTGGCTTCGCCACTCGCATGTGTGGTCTCCATCTTCAGTCGGTTCGCTCTTTTCGCCGCTTTGTCAAATGCGGGCAAATTAAGTCACGATGGCCTTGGTAAAAGGCTAATGGGGGCATGAAGTAATGTTTCAGTTACTAAAAAATAGATCGATTTTTGAGTTCGATATCTCTTTCATAAGTAAAAAAACTGAATGTTCTGAAGAAAAAAAAACAGCAAATAAAATGAAATATACTTTTCATGGAAAAACTGGAAAATAGAAAAACACAGACGGCATTTGCTCAGTAGAAAAATATTTTATTTTTATTTAATCCCTTTGACATATGTATCACATCATTTTTCCACTACCGCGTTTAACTTATGCACCTGGACGTGCTAAATTCGGATAAAGCATTAAATATAGGCATTGAATAGGCATTGAACATGGTGACATCACAGGTGAGAGTGGCCCAAGTAAAATTTACACCATTTCACTTAATCTGGATTTTAGGGACCAAAATGGAATGGAGTATAAAGGGGTGGATAGAGAAATAGTCAGGTTTTAATATTATATATAATTTCATTGAAGACAAAAACATTACATAGTTTTAATTATTTGTTTTCTGAATGTTGCCCTTTCTTGGCAGACTCTGTATTCACAAAATATAAAATATAATATTGCATCCCTTAAAATGACACTCACCAATAATACAAACTCTGTGTACAAAAGTTAAACAACAAATAATCAAAGATCCACACAAGTGTTCGTAGGTTTGTTTAACCCTTAGAGCCGGGAGACCAAAAAAGTTTCGCGGTGGACCCACACGGAGATTTACACCACCACCCAGTTTTTTTTTATGTCAATAACCCCCTCCTGCAAGCCCAAAGCAATTTTAATCCCCATAAATGGTGTATTTGAGTTCCAGACAAGACTTAGATGGTCATTTTATGTTATCTTAGAATTTGTATGTCCGTTTATATCCGGTTATCTATTATTCTTGGGTCAATACTTGGGATCTAGTAAAAATTTACGCGGTGGACCCACATGGAGATTTTTATCACCACCCAGTTTTTTTATGTCATTAAGTGTGCAAACTCACGTACAACAGAATAGCTATAAAAAAAAACAAATTACGGCAATAATAGATTACTAGCTAAAATGTCATGCCAAAATGAATAAAGGAATACAGGTTTGCTTGGGATGTGTTAAACACTCTGTTTGTGACCGGCTGATGTCTGGATGCTGATAATTACCCAAGTTGAAGGCTCATTCACAAATACCATTCATAATACCTTTGAGTCCAAAACAAAATCTCAACTTTTCTGTCCAAAGGTCAAAACAAATCAAAAATTATCAATGTTCAACAATTTCGATTGACAAAACGCCCCTCTAGCTATACAATGGTAAGACCCTCTGGTGATCAACTCCTTATATGGAGATTTACGCGAGCGTCGCGCGCACTGCGTGATGTGGTGCACAACGCAGATGTGCCGGTGTAGTGTGAATTGAGGGCTTTGAAAATACCTACTCAGTGGTAATATAGCGCACGCCTACGTGAGGATTGTGAACGTTCAACCAATGAAACGATGCTGGCACCGGATTTCTATGGAGTCTAAATTGCATGTGACACTGCAAGAGTGTTAAAGATCAACCCATTGTCTTTATCCACCGTTTACAACCGGCAACGTGACGGGCTCTCGACCAACAAAAATGGGTAAACTGTCTTAGGTATTTATGAATAATTTATGAATATTTGTTTAAATATACCGGTTCTCAACTCACTGTTGATGGGCATTTTTTTCTGCTTAAGAGGGAGTTCCATAAATTGGTTAGCAGTGCAAACTTAAGCAGCTTTTAAGCGTTTACCACAAAACAGACGATATTATTTACAACTGTATGGAAATTGATCGCAATTATGAGAATAACAAAAATTACGTTAAGAGTTGATATACAAACAAATCTTTATTAAGCCTAAATGCATTTTTGGTAAACTGTGATCGAGGTTTCAAAAATTAACACCACATATTTACCTTTAATATAATAGGCCCGTTATTATTGTCTTATTAAAGTTAAAGTATAAGAGATGAACTTGTCAATGGCTGCTTCAATGTGAGGCGCCGTTTATGAATTTAATACGAAAATAATATATGCAGACCCAAACAATAGAACGAAAAACAAATGATATTTGTTTCTCGGTCTGTATATATTATTTTCGTAAAATTATGTCCCGTGCAGGTAATGTACTCGTGTTTGGTAGTTTTATGTTATTTTTGTATGTTTAGGAATAGGCTAAGCTTAAAAGCTTTTGCTTCATTGTTATCCCCACATGTTGGTAATTAGCCGATTAATTAATCAATTAAGTACTTGTGCAAATAATTGTAATTGAATACACACTATTATGAATATTACATGTTATTGCTGCAAATGTATATTTTTTACCAACATGAAATAAATGTTGAAGTTACGTATATCGTTATCGTCCTCGGTGAGGGCGCTTCACGCGCAACGGCACTACTGTGGTCTGGTATCAGTCGGACAATGCGGGTATGACTGTATAGAAGTAAAAACCAACGAAGGTACAGACGATGATCCAGATGACCCCAATAACCAGACCGGACGTGGACCACATCTTGGCATCCTTGGATGACAAATGCGCGCCTCTGATATCTCCCTCAGCCCAGCGAGCCTTGACCTGCGTAGACAAGACACAGCACAATTTAGGACTAGGGTAGAGACCTTTCTGCGCTTGGTTGGCAAACTGCATTTTTTGCCAACCACGGCCTGAAAAACTATAGAAGGTCCAACTGTACACTGCAAATATGAAGAAGAGTTATTACAGATCACCAAAATATTATTTGATACTTGAAAATACAACATTTTTCAACAAAGCTACAAAATAATTCCTACATATGCATTTTTACTATGTGTTGATGGCGTTATGTGGACTTTTTTGGAAAAATATGTTGCCAACCACGGCTTCAAATTATGCGCTTACAGCAGCCCATACAAAATGGCGCCAATGTTTACAAACAAAAGAAAGGCCTATTTTGGAGTCTTTTCAAGATGGCTGTAGTTTCTCATCAGGGTGCAGTGAACTAATTCAAGTGAGAATTTCGACGCGAGCTGATTAGCATAAAAAGTGACACCACTGTTTCTTTTGAAAACGGAGACCGTTTGGCTTTAAAAACCGTGGAATTGTGTAAATGTAGCCAAGGATCAACTCCCTAGTTTTTGGGCTTCCATCTGAGGGCAGGCTTGATAAAATTACGGTTGAAAATGGGTCCTATTTGCCTGAGAAAGTGGAAGGATGCCACTTGTAAAACGGCTACATGCAGGCTTGGGAACTATCACTTTTCGGATAGTGATTTTGTTATGGTGTGAATATTTAAAAATGAATCTGCTAGTCTGCCCAAAATTGAAAAGAAATGAAAAGATGAAGTACAAGACAGTAACTTAATTTTTGTTTGGGAAACCCAGTGATGTCGGCTTGCATGTTATTTGGCCCTGAACTTTGTTGATTTTACACTCTTTTCAACGGGGTTTGAATTGGTTTAGTGCACCCATCAGGGACGGATTCAGGGGGAGCATGGGGGCGCACGCCCCTTCCCAGACATATGGAGGGAAAGAGACTTGAAGGGAATGTACATATTTGGCTTTTGCTGTGAGTTTCAGAAATAAACTATTTTAGGGATTTGTATTATATATCAAATTTTGTTACACTGACATGTTTTAGGGTGTTGTGTTGGAAAATACTGGAAAAACCAAGAAAAACTAAAATTTCAAGTAGTCTGGTTCCCTGACTCCACTAAAGGTGAAATGGACAAATGTACAATTACAAGCAGTCTTGCTGGCCTGCACCCGTTCATGAACATGTAATCAATTTATAGCGAACACAATTTGGACTGGGAAAAAATGGTAAATTCGGAGTAGTACTTGAAAAATAGTTAGGCTTTTCCAAAGGTGGTCAGCCGACCCTCGTTTGAAATGTGCGCAAAAATACCATTTTCTTGAAAATGACTTCATACCAGGTGGCATAATTTTACAAGATGCTTTAAACTGTCATTTACCAACATCCTTGTAAGGTATTTCGTTAAAAAAATGTTAGTTCTGTTTTACGATGTTTGCAAATGTTGTACATTCCCTTTAAGAAAAGAGAAGGGGAAAAGAGGGAGAGCATTTTTTGCACATAAGACAACAATTATTATTAGGATTCTGCCATACTTTTACTAAAATTAAAAAGCGACGAGACAGCGGGCGCGCGACGAGACAGAGATGGTGCGCGCGACGAGACAAAAAAGGTAGCAACGAGCGACAGGAGGCCTATCCTGTAAAATATACTGTACATTACAGGAAAATGCAACCAGACTTCTATGGCACGTCAGGAATGCACGTCTCCGGCATGGGCTTCAATCGGTGGGGTGGGGGGGGGGGGAGACGACATTGAGAGTACTTTTTAAAGTGGGGGTATCACATCGTTTGTCCCCCAGTTTTTTTTTCGTTCCTGAATATAAAGTGTAGCCCACAGTTTGATTTTGTAGCTCAGGATAGCTGATTGAAAGACTCAGCTATTGCCTGAGATCGCACCACATAGCATATATAAACAAGGGGTATAAGCATGAAAGGCCGACGTTGCAAAAAAATAATGAGTAGTGACAGATTGAATGTTCCTTTTTCACGAACCGTGTGGAATGGAACACTCCATCAGTCACCGAATGAAATTATTCTTTCCATTGCACGAATGTTATGCATTCTGTATTTGTTTTATACAGCAAACCTGAATCAATCCTCGCCATCTGATTGGTCAGAGCCACCAATCGTATGACCGTGCAATGAAACTTCTATTTAACGTGGAATAGAAATTCTATGTTTACCCGTGCGGCTGGGCCGTGGGTTGGGACGAATGATTCATCGACACTGTGATCAACGACCCACCATCAGATAAAGCGGAATTAATGAGGGGTTGTAAATTATGAATATTTCCAAATATATCATTGGATTGTTGCAAATACAAAATAATCAACCACCGCTACCAAAGACTTAATAAAAGGCCTCTTTCTTACACAACGAGGGTGTTAATATGCAACGTTTGGCAAAGATCTGCTGCCAGCCACGTCTTAAATAGCGCTCAGGGTTTACTGTATTTGCAATCAATTAGCTCCAAAAAGGCCAAGTGATCTTTAACATTTTGTCAGTTGTTTGCACTGCCGCCACCTACAGAGGGCGTTTAACTTATATTAAAAGCCCATTTGTGCGGGCTATTGTTGAGACAAGTCATGCTTTCTTAATTATCAAAGTACTTTGAGATTAAACACAAGCCTTCTTTTGGTATGTATACATAAAGAAGTCAACAGTTCAAGGTAATCGTTGAAAGTCGCTTTTGGTATTTTGTGACTAAACATCAGATATTTCAGGCTGACGTTGGTGGATGTTTGTGGTTTTTTATGTTTGACATTTGATTATTATTGACATTTCCCCACCCCAGTTTTATTCTCTTCAGGTTTGACTTTGTTCATGAATTATGCAAGCACATTTTCAAATGCCATAGAAGATTTGGTTATCGTCGCCCTCATCTTAAGCTGGCCTTTTAAATATAATCATATAAAAACGGTGTTGATGTGCAAACGCGCAGTTCGAATACCGAACTGGATCATGGCAACAAACGACAGATGGCGCTCTTACCTTAGACGCCTTCATCATCGCAACTACCCCAAACGGAAGACAACAGCAGAGGGTGACGAAGATGGACAACCCCATGTAGTTGTTAGGCATCTTGGTAACATGGCTACGCACAATTACATTTGGGCTTGAGGCCGTCTGGTCAAAGATAATTAAAAACAAATGATACGCGTGGTAGTTAAGGACGCGTATACCAACGCCATCAACGATCAAAGAGGGAGAGGTGGAAGACAGTTGCTCCCGTGCGTATTTTACGCTGTGCCATTGTGCTCTAAAATGAAGATATTCTCATCAAACATATAGCCAAAAAAACATCGTGAGTGCCCCTTTAGCGTTGTTTGAACTACATGGTGTCTCAAAAAAAGTTGTGCAAGCAGATATTATTTAATTTTTCAAAGACTAGATAGCATGATTATTTAATCTTGATTGAGCATAACAATTATGTTCTTGCGTATACGCAGTGAAACTGCCATGGAAATCCATTCATGCAAACCAGAGTAAAAGGCTATGGTTTTTCACCCATTCCAGTGGGATTTGCATAGTTAGTGATATCAGTGCAACTGACTGTCATGGGCCTTTTCACTCTGATGTAAATAAATTAAGTTAACTGTGTAAATCACATCCCATTGGAATATGGGAAAACCCATAGCCTTTTATAATCGTTTAGATCTCTGGTTTACATGAACGGATTTCAATGGCATTTTCCGCTTAATTTTATACAAGAGTATAATAATATGCTCCATAAAGATGAAAATCATAGCCAAACACCAGCCCCCTCTGACAAGAACCACATGTTTATGTAATTAAATGCTTGTAGTGATTCAAGTGAATGTCATTTGTGACCAAGACTTGCTTTTAGAAAGTCTAACCTTGGCTGACACGTTTGCAACAGGATTACCCCGTCACGCCAATGAATGGGCTGAATCCGGCCCATTGTGTTAAGGCCTCCACAACTGAAAAGCCTTTTGCAACAATTGAACAAAGAATTTTGCCGGTTAAAGGGCCAGCTTTACTTGCTTTGCTACACGATTTAATTAAGGGTGAAATTACCAAGATTATGGCGCCTCGCTGGCGGTTGTAGGCTACTTGGTTGTAAGCTACTGGCGATGGATACCCGACCTGCAGATGAAATTAAGCAAAGTTTCGTTAGTAGTTCGTGGTTTTGAAACTAAAAGCGAGGCATAGAATGCAAACGAACATGGCGGCGTAAATAATGCGTAGAGTGGCCGAGTGTCTCTTGCAAAGTATACACAGCAGATTGTAAATGGATGGATAGCTCAAATTTTGTGAAAACATCAAGCAACATTCTAGATAGGTCACGAAAAGTCCTTGTCATCGCTAGTTTAATACGCGTAGAGCCACCGGCAAAGAAAGGTCAAGAATGTCTAATTTCTCTTGTCCCAATTTCTAGTGTCTGTTGCACCTGTTTAGTAGCCACTTACATTTGGAGGTTACCCGCGAAAAGTAAGTCGCACAGGACCAGTCATTTCCCCCCCCTTGCATAATGGACGAGCCCATCGAGATACCTGCCCATTTGATGAGTAGACGGGTGCCGGTGATTGTCTCGACGTAGGGCACATAAACGAGTCGGGGTACGCGACTTTTTGTTTTCATGAAACTTGCTAGAGCGAATTTTCGCTGATTTGTTTGTACGGGCTCCAGTTCCTCTTTACTTCTGGGAAATGACAGGTCAAGTGAGAATGACAATTCACGGATAGTCTTAAACTGTTTTAAAATGTAAGTACTTTGTTTATGTAGCACTTTTGCTGTGGCTTTGGTTCATAGCCGCCGCCGGAGGGGTCCGACGGCGCATTGTTGGCGCATTGGCCACAGGTGCGCTGACCTGGTTTGGGGGTATGGCTGCGCTGGCGCGCGCTCCGGAAATAAGTTCTATAAATCGGTTGTTTAAGTGGGGTTCTGTTGTTCACTTACGCGGGTAGGGCTTGGCTAGATGCCAGGGCTGGGTAATTGTTATACATTTTGTAAAGCTGTGCTTGTCTATGGTGGGAGACGACCAGTGGCAGGTATGGTAAGAGGTGGGGCTGGTTGCATGCCCGAAGAGTCCGCTATATCCCGCCTGTGTGTCCCCTTTTCTTGCGTTTTGCTCGACTTGGCGGACAAGAGCACAATAGGTTCCGCCACAGTACCATCAACAGGTCCAATTTCAACTCAAAATGTATATGTTAAACTTTCTCACACAGGAAATTCAGCTCCGCCACTAGTTCGGGGCTTTATCACACAATGAAAGGTGACCTACCTGAAATGTTTCGGGGAAATTGAGCTTTCCATCTATTTATAAGAGTGTCAATTGAATGTAACTTTGCGAACGGTCACTCGTTTATCGTACACATTTACGCCGCCATGTTTACTTGCTTTTAAATAATGTACATGTATGCCTCGCTTTGACTTTCAAGATGGCGTACCCTGAGAAAGGACTACCTGATTCGTAGATGTGACGTCAATTCAACTTATACCACACTTACTGCACGGTGTAGCCTGGCACCATTGGAACCGGAAGTAGTACAAGTTTACGGGCTTAGCCAATGGGCGCTACTAAACACACACTCTTGTTTTACTTTACTCTCGAGGACAATGCTTTGTGTTTCCTTTTTGTACGTGGAATATATCTCTCTCCCATAGACTAAGCACACAAACTTACTGCAGAGGACCGATTCCAACAAAAGACCCAACTCCCGAGGACTAAAATGATCTGTTCTTTTTACTTTGTGTGTCGGTCCCCGGGGGTCATGTAGAACACATACGCTGGCACGTTTGTTTATGGTGTAAATCGAGGATTTTCTTTTGTTCCTGTTCCCTTTTCCTTTGTTTATGACAAATGACAAATTGTCCACCCTGCTTTTACGTAGACCTTAAATATGAATGTGCCTTTTGATTACCCCAGATAGTTTTATTTAGCATAATACTTAATAACCAGCCAAAAAACTGTAGCGCCCTCAACTAAATTCTTCAAATGTGCCGTTACAAAAGTTATAACACAAAGACGATTGGTAAACGGTTATTTTATCATATCGTTGTAAAATTTGATAAAACGGTACAATCGATGTACAAAAAGTCCTATGTATTGCATTGTTTGTGATTCTAAAATGTATTGTGACACTCTCGCATGCGCACCTTTATGAACATTTAACGACAAAGTGAGATGTCTGTTTTCCCGTTATTTCTCTTTATTTGATTGTAAAATGCAATCGAAATGTTTGCTATAATGCGCCTATCAAATGTTTCCCCCACCCCCCCCCCCCCAGTCCGATGTCGGGATTTGGTCAAGTTTTTCAGGCCCCAGGGTGAGGATTTTTGGTCACTCAAATTACATTATTAAAGGGAATGTACATCATTGGCTTTTGCTGTAATTTTCAGAAATAAAGTATTTGAGGGTTAGTATAATAGATCAAATATTTTCACACTGACATGTTTAAAGTTTTGTTTTCGAAAATGCTGGAAAACCAAGAAAAACAAAAATGGTTAAGTAGTCTGGTTCCCAGACTCCACTAAGAATAAACTTGATCAATTTATGGATGCCGGAAAAATTGTAAGGTAAGGGAACCAGTCTAGCTGGCCTGCACCCGTTCATGAACATGAATCCAATAGCAACAAAATTTGGACTGAAAAAATGGTAAATTTGGAGCTGTAGTTGACAAATAGTCGGGGTTTTTTTCAACAATGGTCGGCCGACCACCGTTGGAAATTTATACAAAAATACCACTTTTCTTGAAAATGACTTCACACCAGGTGCCATAATTTTACAGGATGCTTTAGACTGTCATTTACCTACATCCTAGTAAGGTTTTTCGTAAAAATTTAGTAGTTTTGTTTTTCGATGTTTTCAAATGTTGTATATTCCCTTTAACATAGGCGTACTACATGTGAAGGCAATCACTAGTGTGCCCCACGTATGTATGTCGGTGCATGAGCGGGGATTGTTACTTACATTTGCCCGAGGGGTGGGGATTTTGTCACTTCAAAAGTGACAATCCCCACGTCGTGGGTGGGGCAGCCTGAGAAAGTTGGGGATAAGGGTGGGGGGGGGGGGGAGTTGATAGGCGCGTTACTAAACGTTCCCGAGGAGTACTACATAAATAAATAAATAAATAAATACACCACGGAACTTCACGCCCTTGTATACCTGTTGCCCAGGGTAGATTTGCTGGGTAGGGTACACCAGTTGGGGTGGGTAGATTTGCTGAAGAGGATAAGCTCGCTGCAGCGGATCGCCCTGCTGCTGCGCTGGGGGTGAATACGCAGGAGGATCGTCCTTCATTTCCCCATCACCCGCAGGGGACGCAGGGGGATTTTCCCGGCATTCTTTACCTGCGAGAAAAACAACGATTGAAATCACGTTTTTAAAGGCATGTGCTTCTGAAGCATAGTTTGTTTCCAATAATAACGCCACTCAAAATGCAAAGAAAATGTTCCAAACCTGACCAGTCTTATGAAATTGCATCTCAGTGGATATTACGCTTTTCGAGAAATAGGTGAACAACCTGACTTGCGCAACCTGGTGATCACGAATCACGAGTTGGTCAACTTCACTCTTTAAGCAAAAAAACAGTCAACTGGCTGATCGTCTGAAATCACATACAGTTCCTCATTTCGTCAACTTCACTCTTTAATAAAAAAATCAGTCAACTGGCTAATCGTTTGAAATCAAATATACAGTTCCTGTTTTTGTCAACGGCATTCATTAAGGCCAAAAATCAGTCAACTAGCTGATGTTTGAAATCGCATACAGTTCGTGATTTCGTCAACGACACTCTTTAATCCAAAAATCAGTCAACTGGCTGATCGTTTGAAATCGCATACAGTTCGTGATTTCGTCAACGACACTCTTTAATCCAAAAATCAGTCAACTGGCTGATCGTTTGAAATCGCATACAGTTCGTGATTTCGTCAACGACACACTTTAATCCAAAAATCAATAAACTGGCTGATCGTTTGAAATCGCATACAGTTCGTGATTTCGTCAACGACACACTTTAATCCAAAAATCAGTCAACTGGCTGATAGTTTGAAATCTCATGCAGTTCGTGATTTCGTCAACGGCACTCTTTATTCCAAAAATCAGTCAACTGGCTGATCGTTTGAAATCACATGCAGTTCTTGATTGCGTTTAAAGAACAGCAGGCCTGACGATTAGTATTACAGGGTGTTTAGTACCGCTACAATCTTTAATCCTATAGTAATCCTGTTTATTATATAATTCGCTTGGTTACGTTTTGTGGTTTATTCCAATGATCCTATAATTATATGCCTTTGAAATGTCGATTTTTCAAATCGCGGTTTAGTAGGTCTATACATTTCTTCCCTCCCTCCAAAGAAAATAACTGCATTACTGATGCCATATTCCATTCTGATAAAATAGCTTAACTGCAGTGACTTCGTTTTCATTAAGGAGATAATAATTACTGAATATATACTTAATTGAACACAGAAATATATAAAATCAATATAGACGACAGTAGCGAATCGAGATCTCAGTGTTATGTTGTTGCAATGAAAAACTGAGTTACCACACGTTCACCATACGACGTAATTAGCGTTTTTTTTAACAAACACAAACGGTTCAAGGATGTGTCTTGAAATTGGGTAGATTGTGTACATGTAGAGGACAAAAATTAACTGTCAAAAAATCACAATAGTTTAGAAAAACCGATTTTGAATAGGTTCGTCACTAGTCGTCAACGTTTCTGTTCTGGTATAATTGTTTAAAACTATTATATCCAAACGTCTTTCTGGGAATACAAGTAGGCGCCATATGACAGAAAATAATGTAACTTTAAACTCTCGGTCAAAACAAAAGAATGTTGTCGCTTGTTTTCTGTTTCCATCCAGCTCCCAACTCCCACATTTAATCGATTCCTTTTCGAGTTATACCCGGCGCGCCTGGAGTCGATTCCAAGCGAATTCTATTTTGATCCCATATACTGCATTGAGAGGATGCATTCTTGTAAACAAAATTGGCGCCCTCTGTCGATGGGCCGATTTACGCAGTTATGTAGCAGCCTGTACCGCGACGCCTTGAGCTATAAGCCTATACGGCAATTCATTTTGGTCAATGACTGGAACAGGGACTTTTTCAATGCAGTCTGGTCGGGACTTTCCATACAACGACCAGGCGTTCAGAAGAGTCAGTCACTGAAACACCAACAAACAGCATCTACAGACACACACAACGAGCCGTAATAACTGCACAAAATGGCTGTCGACATAATACAAAATTATATTAAATGCAAGTAGCATGTAACTGTTTATGGAAGTATGATATGGGCCTGTATGAACAATAAAGACGCACAGGGGCCTACGGTAGGCCTATCTATAATGTGCACCTACTTTTCCCGGCCAAATGCAACAAGATTTAGTTTACTTAAACTTTCAAATGTATGCAGTTTTCACGAATTCAGATCAATGCACGGTTCTTTTTTTCATAGTATTAATATGATGGCATTTATAATAAATCGTTCTTGAGAAAAACATGGTTTGATTTTTTTTTTATGATTCAATTTTTGTTTCTACTTCCGCTTTACTGTAGCATGTTAATCATATTTAAGTTGAATTTGTACATGTCTTTGATTTGCAATTGGAGCAATCAATTAAAGGGAATATACATCATTTGCTTTTGCTGTAATTTTCAGAAATGGATGGAATTGGGGGGTTGGAAATATAAAGCAAATATAGTTACACTGACTTTTTGGAGGTTTTGGGTTCGAAAATGCTATAAAAACCAAGAAAAACTATCATTTTCCTGTAGTCTGGTTCCCTGACTCCATGTAAGAAGAAACAGAGCAGTTTACATACATTGGGGAATTGTAAGGTCAGGGAATCAGTCTAGCTGGCTCGTACCCGTTCATAGGTTTGTAATCGATTGCAAACAAGTGCAATGGTCAATTGGGGCCAGTATTTGAAAAAAAGCCAGTTGTTTCCACCGCTGATTGGCCGATCAGCGTTGGAAATTGATACAAAAATACCACTTTTCTTGAAAATGACAGTATACCAGGTGCCATAATTTTACAGGATGCTTTAGACTGTCATTTACCAATATCCTATTAAGGTATTTCGCAAAAACTTGGTAATTTTATTTTTCGATGTTTGCAAATGTTGTATATTCCCTTTAATAACATTTGCAGTAATTGAAATGAAACCATTGTTTATCAATTTTTGAATAAACTGTTAATCAGGTGGCAAGTCATACTATTTAAACTATAATGGTCTATACAAAACCGTCTGTATAAACAAATTGCTCCGAGGAAAGAAAAAAGTCCACTTTTTTATCTTTGAATTTCCTGCGAATTGGCAACTTGAATAGTTATACAAATGGAATAATTCAACGGGTTAATCTGGATCTGTGCCTTGTTCAGAAATGTTATAGTTTGTAAACGTTCCTGTGCAGGGTGACCGTAAGGTCAGAGCCAAATTCTGCTAAACGCACATCCAAAATCTGTCAGATTTAACAAAAATTAGCCAAATTCCATAGAATTACTCAAAATACACTATAAACACTTAAAATCACATGCAGATTGGTAGTATTGCCTTGATTAAGATTCAAATTACATAATAAACAATCTAGTTACATAAAGATGTTGTGAAAGTATTGGTAAATTTTGGGCAAAACGCGGATCCAGCCACGACGAGGTCCGTTTCCCAGTGAACCTCAGCACATAGACCAGCCAACCTGTCCCATTATGCAGGGGTTTTTGCTTGAAAAGATTGCATGATTGAAGCTTTTTTAAACAAACGTACATTTTTTTTCTTCAAATTTGCTGTTTTTCTGTCAAATAACCATTTTTGCAGAATTCTGTCAGAAATCTGCCAAAAATCCATTCTTTCAAATTTTCTGTCAAACTCGTTTTTTTAAAACAAAAATTCGGTCAAAGTGAGCAGAAAATCGGCTAAAACGGTCACCCTGTTTCATGATGGATTATTTGGGTGGCAAATTTCTGGGTGTCAAATAATTAATGATAAGGCTTTACGTATAATTTATGTTTCAATCACATTAGTTGAAACTTTCGGAGCTAGGAAACAACATACACTGTTGACCAGCACGAAATGAAATCTAGGGCGAATCCAAGACTGTATTAAGGTACATGTTTTCTCTATCGGTGTCGCCTGGAACAAATGATGATAACCAGATCGACGCTAATGAACACTCTTCGCACACACAAAAATGGGTGGTTTTTGCCGATTCAAGGAAACTTGGTACACTTAATATGAATATGTCTATTAACCAACAATTTTTTTTTTATTCCAGCTCAGTCGATATACTTTTTTTGGGCGGGAGGAATCTGTGAAAATGCAATTTTATTAATCTTGTGGCAATAAATTTCCTTTGAAAGCCTCTTTTCTTAATCCCTTTCAAAAATGTTCATTAATACATTTAAGTGACGTGCACCCTCTTGTGGAATGATCCCCAGTTTGTTACTTGGGAGAAATCATTCCCATTGACGGATATGTAACCGGTTTGCTAACTAAATTAGATTCAGTCAAATGGGGCTTGATATCAGCCAGTATTTTTGAAAAAAAAAAACCTTTATTTTTTCTCTAGCGATGGTTGAGTCTATATAGCCATCTCGCGGAAATGATGACCAATCCTTTTTTTTCTTGAAAATGGCACCATGTACTAGGCACACTGATTTTACTTTAGCTTAAAGGGACTGCGTCCTAGAACAACTCAATTGGGCTACAAAACGCGCCTTGAATGAATTAAATGATGTTAATCGGGAAAACATTTGAAAGTAGGATATACACATCCCCAACTTTCCTTTAAAACTGGGCGTTTTTGTGTTATTCCTGTATTATGCGAGCGAGAACGACTTTTTGGGTCCACTTTTGCGACCAAAAAAAAAAAAAATCGAGCTGTTTGGATACTTATTGTGATATCATCTTTAAAGTGTTCGCCTTTTGCGGACGTGTAAGAAACCACATTTTGTGCATTGGTGATTAGTCAACGCTGTTCGCCAGCACGGTGCTGCATGCTGTATAGACACACAACGTGTATATCGTACATTGACCAATGACATGAAAAACGTATTCGTACTCCGTCGTGTCCGATGTAAACAACCGAGTTTTTTTTTTTGTCTTTTTTTCTGGAACTGTCAGACATTAGGTAAGTTTCCTCTGAACCAGATGTTAGAAATAGGATAAGTAAACAATCCAAAACATGACATTTTCGGGGATTCCAGGACCTATAGTGCCCCTTTAATGCTATTACAGTTACTTACACTCAAGTAACATAATGTTTTGGCAGTTTCATTTTAAATGTTTGCTAATGGTATCCGTTACCTTAAAGACAACGAAATAATTGGCCAATACTGTATATAGTTGTAACGAGTCACTGATTGTTATGACTCGAGTCGAGTAAATAGTTAATCATAATTATTCGAAGACTTTGTGAGGAAAAGTTTCAATATTACATCCTGACACTGGGCAGTATATTGAGAGTTGCGACAACTATCAATAACAT